TTATAGTATTCCTTTTTGTTTCTAACACTTCGATCCGTTACTTTTTAATAAATTCAAAGAAATATTCAATGAAAGTCAAGCCATTTGGGTGGATTACTATTCAAGAACTGATATCTTAATAACTATGATTCATATTTCTAAGACTTCGATTTGTGTAGTTCATTATAATAACGTAATATTTAATAAAAATTTAAAAATAATTGTTAAGTGAATGTGTCGACCAATCAAGAACTGATATCTAAATAACTATAATTCATGAAGATCCTTTTATTTCCAAGGCTTTGATTCTCTGGCTGGATTCCTTTCTGTGTAGAAGTTTTTTAATTCCTGTACTTCAACAATATAATCCATTTAAACAATCGTGTGTCCACTTTTTGCTGGCGTTTGTGACAATAATCGGTGTACTTATCCATGTTCTTGCGTTTTTACAAAACAATAGAAAATGGTTATTTTTAGTTATTATATTTTATATTTAATTTATTAGTAGTAATGTTATTTTTGTTGAGTAGCAAAATGAACTCCAACTTTTTATAATATGCCTTTGTTATACACATTTTACCTATATATTTTTAATGATTGTTAAATCAAATAATTTTGAGAGTAATTTAAAGGAGTAAAGGTGTTATAATCAACAATATTACGTTTTCGTTACTGAAGAAGCTACAGCGTATAAAAAACTAGACTTAAAACGTGGTTATATTGATGGTTAAAAACAAAAACAACAAAAATATATATCTGATCCAAAACAGATTTAGCTATATACATAAATACTCACTAAATACAATATCGAAATATTATTTGATAAGTACAGCGTTTTGGTTGGTTAAAAAATTGAATTTGAAGAATAATGGTAAAGAGTTAATATGAGAGAAACTGGTCTGATAATAGAGTGTTTCAACCTTTTATGGCCATATAAATAAATCTAAACAAATGTATATCATTTACATGAAAGGCGAAGGTATCGAAAATATCGAAAATATCGAAGGTATCAGATCAGATGAAGCTTAAAAATGGTATTTGCTTGTGTATAGACCAAACTATAAAAAATTTATACTTTTGAAATCAATAGTCAATCACAAATGCACATTAAACGAGTATTAAATATCCTATTTTAGAAATGGAGGCGGCAACAAGGACAACTACAATAAAGGTAAAATAAAAGCAAGACAATTTGCAAATGCGTAAAGTATAAAATATATCAATTCATTTACTACTTACAATAATCCATTTCGCGGTATTACAAGTTTAGAAATATTTTTATTCATGCATTTAAAAAAAAACACCTTTTGATATATAATCAAAATTTCTTCATTATTAAAATCACAGAGTGACCCATAAATAATCTAGGCCAACGATTCAAGGCATTATATTTTTAACGTTGCTCTTCCTTAGCTTATTAAAATTGTAAAAAAAAAATTATGTATCTTATCTAACAGTTATATTTTCTTACTTAATCGATTTGTTGTATCAAGTCTTCATCCTTTCTGGTAACTACTTTTTAAATGTGTTTTGTTATTTCACAAACTAATATTACTTTTTTATTTTGATACTTATAAAACTGTATTCCACCTGCTTTAATATTTCATACAAATACTTTTTTTTGCTCATCCATTCTGTCTTCTTTCTAATATGTTTTTAATAATATATTAAGGGATTATTTTATTTAATTATTTTTTACGAAGTCTATTCGAAAGTTTGTATTAAATTGCACTAATATAAGATCCTCACATCATATCATTAAAATTTTGAAAATTGAATTTCAATACCAAAGAACAAAATGCGTTCGCATTTCGTTACATGTCCAATCTAACAGACTGTGTGCTACTAACGACAGATCCTTCCTACCCGTTTAGAATTTCAATTTTTATTGGTGTTTGCGTTTATGATGACTGAATTATGCGTTTATGATGACGTTTATGATCATGACTGAAGAGAGACTATGTAATCGTAAATCGTTTACAAGATGATTTCTGAATACAGTATAAAATGAGAAAATCCGAAGAGCAATCAAATATAGTAATTCCAAATATAAGGGTTATTGATATCACTACTCAAAATAAGGCTACTATGAAACGTTTCGCCTCTGACAAACACAATTAACTGGAAATTTTTAATTATATTTCGAATATTCAAATTTGTTGGTATCAGAGAACTGCAATGAGAGTACTCAATACAGTACTCCAATACTGTATTTCATTTATACGCATTTTGACTCTTTTTCGTATATTAGACAACCTGATTCATGCATACAGCTAACAGCACTTTAAATGATTTATACTCTTCTCATATGATACTCATAGACAGCGATACTCGACACAAAACGGATGCAAGTAATTTATGAATCATTCATGAGTATCGCAATTGACAAAATACTTGCATTTATAATGTTAACAACAGAAACTCACACTAAAAGCATAACACCAACAAACAACAACAAAAAAAAAACACAAACAACTTTTTTATTTAGTAAACAAACAACAACACTCACACAAAATTTCAACGAATGCCAAAACTGGTCGAATCGTCGGCAGCTATCATTTTCGATGAGTATATTCACTGATTCATACCACTCGAGTCGAGTATATGCTGTGAGACATGAGTCTTTTGCCATTTATGCTATCCTACTTAGAAAAGTACGCATCCATAAGCACCGGCACTTGGCGAAAGTGAATGCGTATAAGTGACGTACTTGGTCTTCATGAGTGTACTCTGAGTAAAAATTATGCCACGTTGCAGTTCTTTGCTAGGTACATTATGTGAACTATAAATGCGCAAGACGTGACCCAAATAGATTGATTCATTGTTTTTGTAATAAAATTAACAGTTTTTATAAGCTGTATATAAGCTGCGTACAAAAGTACTGTACACAAATGTGAATTTAACTGGAAATCGAAAAAAAAAATATATATATACATAGTACTTACTGATTTGTTATATTATATACTGTATGTTATAAAACCGTATTTAGAAATGGTTTCGGTTTCAGTTACGGGCATTGAAACTGAATATATTAATAAAAAATATAGTATGATCTCATCTTAATTCAATATATAACTCATTGTTATGGTTTGATCCTCCGTAGCTGCAATACATATGTTATTATATTAGTATGTAAATGATTGGATCAATGTTAATCGTTTGCTATGTGTATATAATCGAAAGACAAGTGCAAGGACAACGTGTTGTTAGTTCATTACTATCATATATCCATAAGTAAACTTTCCAATAGTGCATGAAACTGCAAAATCTCATATTTATTTATACTTAAATATTATAATTTACACTCAAAAGATCAAGAGTTTGTAAGCAAGCAAGGATGTACTGGACAACCTTACTGACAATAAGACTACAACATAACCTTCTTCAACTACCATTTTCTTTTGCTTCCACATTTATTTTTTCTCATTCTGTGTGGATATGATTCCTCCAGAGCTAAATGAAGAAATAATTGAACTTAAATTTTAAAATTAATCTGCTTTTGCATCTGCTTTCTTTAATAATAATATAACTCATAATATTTTTAAAATATACATATTTAACAAATTTCTCATTTGCACTTGCAGTGTTTAAAGGTGAAATCGTTTTCACTCTTCAATGCGATGTCCACATAATTATTTATATCCAACTAGTCTACCACTGAAATCATATCATTGAAATCTTAATACTTTTTAAATGATTTAAAAGAATGAGTTGTATGTAATTATAATATGGGACCCTATGTGTTATAGATACATTCCTTTTTATATTATTACTTGTTATATTAAAAATAACTTTATTTAAGCCACTATAAGATCAACAGTTTTTAAGAACATTGGTTAATATATTTTATTTGTCTTTATTCACAAAAAATGTGTACGTATTGCCGTTTAATTGAGGCTCTTATCGTGTTATACGAATACGATCATAATTTGTTCGTTGTCTTATAGAAATTCGTCTACTGTACTCTTCTATATCAAATTAAATAATTTCAATTTATATTTTATGGTATTTGAAACATACATTTATATATATATATAAATAAGTATATACAGAAACGTACGTTACGTATCCCTCTTCATCTGTATTGTATAAAAATAAGTAAACATTCTTGATTTTCTTGTATAAAAATAGAGTATTTAATATTAATTAATTTCGTATCATTTTGGGTCGCTCTGTTCTTCTTATTTGTGTAATAAAAATGAAATAAATTAGCAATGAATTAGTCTAATATAATTTATATTATAAGTTTAAGAGTTTCATTTATTGGTTGAGTTTTTAAAAACAAGCGTACAGCAGTTACTTAGTCAAACTTTACATATGTATACGTATTACACCCAACAATAATATTGAAAGACCTGTACTCATACTCATACGGTGTATCAGAACCGTAACATGTATTAAACAAATAAAATTAATAACTTTAATTTATATATTTATGGTATAAATTTCGATGGGTTGACAGTAATATTTAATTGAATGAAAGTATATATGGGTAAAAAATACCAAGAATCTCTATTGGTACATATAATTTAAGATTTCTGCTTTATATCATGGTTTGAAAATGTTACGTTCTTAGAATTAAAATTGAAAATTGACAAAAATGTCTGTAATAGCAATCACTTACGTACTACGTACATTATAATCTTGAAGGGTTTATTAAGAGGAACTCTTACTTATATATATATAACAAAATCTGCTGCAAAACCACCAGCACACATAGGAAAAAAACTCAAAATATTATATTTATATATTATCTTCAATCTGGTTAAAAATTTGATGATTTCAATCTTTTTATGTTATCCTAAGTTATAAAAGTAGAAGGATATTTTAATATTAAGTAGTTTAATTTGTCAAAGATATTTTGTAGTGTTTTGAATGCTCAAAATTCTTCAAACTATTTCTAATATAACTAATAAGGTTATGTGTTTTCTAGGCGGATACAGTAATAGTGGCGGAGGAGGCGGTGGTGGAAATGATATGATCACTCAAGAAGATACCATATTTGTGTCGGGAATGGATCCATCCACTACCGAAATGGATATTGAAACACACTTTGGTGCGATTGGTGTAATAAAGGTTCGTTTTGTAATGATCTTATTGTTATGTTAATAAATAATAGTTTGCATTAGAATTTAATATAAGGTTCTGAGTAGTATGATAGAAACGCGTTTCTTCATTTAAAATTAAATGTGTATCTTTTAACACAACGAATTGCAATGAATACTTTCCACTTGCTTTGCTTCTATCCAGCATATGCACGGCGCCGTCTTAACATTTTAGGGGCTTTCTTTTTTGAAGATCTTGGCGCACTTAAAGACCTCCCTTTCAATAGCATCATAAGCTTTGCCAAAGATTTTAGATGGTTTTGGCCCTTAGGTTTTTATTAATACGGTAGCACAATGGGTCTATAGGCCTAAGTGGATGCCCCTGTGATCGCCAGTATAGCCTAACCTAACCTACAATGAATTCGTCAGTTCTTGATTTTCTTACTGCGTTTTAAAAAATGTTGGTCCTCGAGGACCTTAAAATATATATAAGTTGCAGAGGTAAATCAAAATATTATGATTGAAATTACATTCTAGCAAGCCATAAAATAAATCATATAAATAAATTAAAAATCAGGGTCAACTCTGATGAGTTCAATGTGGATGTGATAGCGGCTCATAATATAATTCGACTAATATATCTGCCAACACTCTGTTCAGCATTACACCATCTGAATAATGAATATAAGTGTCGCTTCTTACTTTTTTTAAACTAATCAATAGAAATTAAACATGGTCTCATCTGAAATTATTAATCGACGCGTAGTTGTAAATGCAGTTGTTTTGATCGACTATGTGTAAACGGGACGCCTAACTGAATCACAACTCACAACTTTTTCTTATGCCAAAACTCTTGCAAAATGTTATTAACGTATCCTTTTGGATTATCAGGGATCTGACATAATTAAATCATGGATATTAACTGCCATATCCGCAGTTGTTGTTGTCGTAACCCGCCGGGACCTGCTTGTGGAGTCCTTTTGGAAAGTGTTGAACGAGGTGACGAGTGGCTCCGGGACGTAGACCCGACCGTTCTCGCTCCATATCCGCAGTTGTACCTCGCAGTTATCCTGGTTGCTCAACAATTTTAGTATTCACATCTTTATAATAAAAATTTTCAAATTACTTTCAAATCGTTCGTTCCATTCCAAATCTTCATATTGCTTGTCGGAATATCTGTTCGCTTCAGTGTTTTTTTCTCATTGTTTTAACACGCGAAATTTTTTTTTTTTAATCTATTTTTGCAAATTTACCAAAACACAGAAACTTCCATGTAAAACGAATAATTTAAACAATGTAGGCAATTAATTTTAAAATGAATTTAATGCAGTTAACTTCGACTTATCCACAGCCATTTTATATACATTTTAATTAAAGTTTTAATTAATGTTCCTTCATATTTCGTTTTATATTTACAGAAAGATAAACGCACTATGAAACCGAAAATATGGCTTTATAAACATAAAGATACTGGGCTTTCAAAAGGAGAGGCTACCGTTACTTATGACGATATTAACGCTGCGCAGTCTGCCATCGCCTGGTTTGATGGCCGCGATTTTAATGGAAGTATTATAAAAGTTTCACTAGCACAAAGGCAAAATAATTGGAATAAAGGTGGTCGCGGCGGTGGTGGCGGCGGCGGCGGAGGAGGTGGTTTTGGTGGTCGAGGTCGTGGCGGTGGCGGCGGCGGAGGCGGTGGTGGTGATCGTGGAGGTGGTAGATTTGATCGCGGAGGCGGTGGTAGTCAAGGTGACTATGATTCAAACCGTGGTGGAGACAGAGGTGGACGCGGCCGTATGGGCGGCGGTGGTGGTGGTGGTGGAGGCCATGGAGGCGGCGGCGGTGGTGGTGCTCCACAACGTGAAGGCGATTGGAAATGTAGTAGCTGTACTAATACCAATTTTGCATGGCGCAGTGAATGTAATAGATGCAAAAATCCTAAGGACTCCTCTGGCGGCGGTGGTGGTGGTAGTGGCGGCGGCGGCGGCGGCTATGGTGGTAATTCTGGCGGCGGTGGTTTCGGTGGTGGATATGGTGGAGGTAACAATGATCGCGGCAACAGTGGCGGCGGTGGTGGTTACCAAAATAGAGGAAATAGTGGTGGCGGTGGCGGCGGCGGATATGGCGGTGGTGGAGGTTACGGCGGAGGAAATGATCGTCGAGGAGGAAGCGGTGGAGGTGGCGGCGGTGGTGGTCGCCGTGGTGGCGGCCCAATGCGCAACGACGGCGGTGGCGGCGGTAATCGTAATCGACCGTATTAACCCTATTAACCCTAATAAACTATTCAAAATGTCTGTTTTAATTTAAGATATTGCAGTTTCGTATAAGTTCGACAATTTATTTATAACAATTATATGACACATGTTTACTATAATCAACTGAAGTACATTAAAATACGATATTTTAAATAAATTCCACATTTATTTTAATTTTAAAGATCTCATCTTTTAATTTCTCTTTAAATATACCAAATTTGCGCTGTAATTCCGATATGAATACCGGCACAGAAGAGAATAGTGGTCATTATTAAAATACCCAGAAAGAATGGAAACAAAAAATATATTTTGATATTAGAAAATATATTTTTAATAGTATGTTACAATATTTTATAAAACTATTAATATTAGTTTGAATAATCTAGAGAATTCAATTTGAGTCTTTAATCTACTCCAAAAAAATACCTTCGAGCGTATTTTTAATACTCAACATAAGTTGGTTATATTCTGATTCTTAAATGAAAAACTATCGAGCTAGTAGATGCTAAGAACTTGCATTAACAGGAAGTAGCGCTTAGAAATACCAGCTGTGGAATTTTTTACAATAGTGCATTTAGGAACGATTATACTATCATAACTTATGTCTCAAAAATGCTTTCACTATGAATTAAGTCATAAAGTAGACTTAGGCATTAGTTTACTCAAGAAATTGATTAAAGCGTTACTTAAGTCGGTCATAAATCTATAAGTTCATAAATATTTTATTTCGCTTCTGAATGCAAAATAAAATATATATTTTCATTGAAAACTTAGATGTTTTAAAGTTAATAGAATGTCTCTGTGACTCAGATAATGACTTTTGATTTCGAATTATATTTCGCCGAATTAAGCCAATGCAGAATCATCCGATAAACTAGCCATTTATAAAACATAGTGTATAATTACTAATATAAGTATAATTTACCCTCCCGACTGAAACTCAGCATCATCCAAAACTGTTTGGAGTAATAAATGAGTCCCTATAGCGGTACCCGATTGGAGATATAAATGTAGTGATCTGGGGGTCACAAGTGAAATGAGTCCCTATTGCGGCCTATCTATTCAGTCACAACCGAATAGAATTAGCCTCCTTTAATGGGGGCAGAATAAATGTATCCATTTCATTTGACGTGAAGCTGCATTTTCCAACCTAGTTCTATGATACAATGAACAACAAAGGTTTTAGAGAGGCCTCGCTTCATCTCAAAAGGAAATTATGTCCAAATGTATAGCTTCCTTGCAATCCCAAAGAAATGTATAGATATATTAGAACACCATGGTGTTAAGTTTTAATGGCAGCTATTCACGTTAAAAAACTGTGGACCCTGTTAGTATACTTACAATTTCAGGTTTGTTTTTCAGGGACAATACTCTATTACCTGATATAATGCAACTGGTTGTGTTTGCAGCAAATAGTAAAAAATTTGTTTAGGTTATCAAATAGTATGCCCTTTAATTTAAAAATGGATTTAAAAAAAGTTTTATTTGCTTCATTAATTTCCAGGTTATAATTGAGAGTGATTTTTTTCTATTAATGTTCAGTCTTTGTGTTATAATAATAAGTGCTTCTCAGATGTTGTTACGAAGTGATTTGGGTCAACCTATGACTCAACCATTTTTAGAAATTTTAGAATATGCTATCGCTTCTATCTATCCGGAAAAATTGGAAATGAATTTGTTTTTGTAGATAGTTGATATGAATATACAAATTGTGTTATAACATTTTTGTCACAAGTCAATAACATACATCTGCTAAGAATCATTTTAAAAAATAATTGTTTATTCCTATCACAATAATTTTTACTTTTGCTTTGGTGTACCAGGCTGAAACTTTATTAAAAATAAAACGAAGACGAAAATAAATTGATTGATTGGGCAAAATTCTTAAAGGGGTTACCCAATTTCCAACGGTATGGTTGAAGAAATCATTTTCTATCGGTTTTGATAAATAATTGGACCGGTTTTTTGCTTACAAGCTTTCCAAATGGCTGAACTTTACACGATCTCCATCCCTTGTCAGTATTCTCTATAAGAGGTGAATTGTAACACAAGGTTCTCAACAGGCCTCCACTTTAAATCTCCTGAAATAAAAGACGTCTTTCATGTGAACTGACAGAAACAGAAACTGACCTCATCCAATAAATCCAGATATAACTATAGAGTTACTTGCCATGCTTAAATATATTTCCCAATATATGTGCTTAACTGTTATTCTACTTCTCATGACGTCATTCATTTTTTTTTTTTTTGCCCAAATACACACAAAAACTTTTTTCCTATCGATTTATGGTTACATCCTATTGGTGGAATTTTTTTTTCGCAAAGATTTTGACGTTTAAATCCAGGTTGGGTTCTTATCCACTATTCCCACCACATTTCCCACTCCCTAAACATATCCGTACCTTTGAAATTGCAGCTTGTTTACGTCTTGTCATCAGTGTCATGTGATTGTTTTTTAGATTCGAATAAGATTAAACAAATATGCCTGAGTAAAGCTAAACAGACTTAGGCTGATAAAAACGCACCAATCAAATGGTTAATTAATGCCTAACCTGCTCAGCACTACTGTTTCATGACTTTATGTGCTGAGCACTGCAGCCCTTTTGAGTTTGTCTCTGGTTGCGTATGAAAAACGCTAATCGGTGATATCACAACGTGCCATTATTTGAGTTCAACTGGCCCACAACAACAAAATTCTCTATTCAATAGAATACACAATTTAAAGGCAAATACTTTACAAGTAGAAACAATTGCTTTATTAAATGTTTCAGTTTTGAGTAAAAATAATACATTAAAGTAATATAATAAACTTAAATGATCAATAATAAAAACAAACCATTGTCTTGTAAAAGTCCCTCTTAAAAAATATTTTATTACATTATTGCAGCAGATCCAAACACCAATTGATATAGAGTCGAGAAAACCTAAATTTGAATTTTTGCAGGGATATTTTTTGCATAATTAATTTTTTTAATTTTTGACTAGCGTTGTGTTGTGTTGTGTTGTTATAAGCTGGGAAAATATTTATTTTAAAAAAGAATTTTACAAATTTAACGGCTTTCCCTCTTTTACCACAATTTCTGTCGCGTATATGTTGTATTTACCTAATATAATTCATTTATAAATCGCGTTGTGTATTTTAGTAAACTGCATTTTATGATTTGATTTTATTAATATGTTTGCGTTCATAAGCAATGAGCAAGAAAATATTAAACACATCACAAAACTTTGCTATGCAAATAGTAACCAAGCAATGCATAAGAGTGCTAGGTAGAGAAATAATTTAGACAGCTGCTGTTCCTCCTCGTACTGTGTTGTACCACGGTTTGAGGCTATGAATAGACGAAATTACATTTAAATTAAATTTTATTTATTTTGAAATAAATTAAGTTTATTTAACTAACCTCCAGGTCGTGGTTCTCCAATATTGAAAGATGACGCAAAGAACCCGAATGGGAAAGCGCCGATACCAAAAGACATGTGAAAACCATCTCCAAAACCAAAGCCAGGAAATCCATGTTGTGGATCCGGTTCAGTACGCTGTCCTGCTGGCCTTGGTGGTACCTTGTTTCTATAATTATAATAAAATAAATTTTTAATTAATATATTCGTAATCTATGCTTTAGTGCATTCAAATATACCTTGGATCCTCCTGTTTGGTGCTATTACGTCCATATAAAGGTATAACTTTGTCTCTGCCAATGGCGGCTTTGCAAACTGGACACAATTTACGGTTAGGACGAGTTTCAAGCCACTGATGCAAACATGGCCAACAGAATAAATGTCCACATAAACTAACAACGGCATCCTTTGCTGTGTCCAAACAAATATTACATTCATAAACCGAGTCATCATGTTTGTTTTCATCTTTTTCCGCTTCTGTGTTGGGGTTACTTTCTTTGTTTTCCGTTTTTGTTGTGTTACCATTTAAATTATCACCCTGTAACGTGTGTCCTACTAAATAAAACCAAAATAATATTATATAGCATGTGCCTCACAAATGCACTAAAATAATAATTTTATAAAAAATTAAATTTCAATGTTTTTACAAGAAAGTTTTATTTTGCAAAAGATAATTTATGTGATACTTTGGTTGTTAGTCAGTGTAAGCATAAGCAAAACATTGTTTAATAATAATTCTTGTCCATGACTATAATATGGACATTTATTTTTGACCAATAGGGCGTTCAAACATATTACTTGATTGGTCAGTTTTACGATTAAAAATCGCATAAATAAGGTTTTGGAATATTTGTGAATAACAAAATCTTTTTTTTTATTGATTAAATTCTTAACTGACCATAAAGCTGTTTCGCACATTTCTAATACTCATCAACAATTGAGTTTCTGGAAATATTTTTTATTTTTAAATATTCGTAAGAAAAATTTATTTTTAAACTATAACTACTAAGGATATAAATAGTCAATTATTCTGAAATAACATATGTATTTTGGATCACACTCAAACATAAACTTCTCAATTTTAAATATTCAAAGCCCCGACATTTTCGGATTCCTATTAACTGATAAAACGCTGCCTGTTAATAAAACATAAACATAACAAATATAAACTCTTAGAATAGACAAAACAAAAAAACCAATCAAGATAAATATACTGTGATCATTGCATTGAACTATTTCAAAATTATAATAAAAATATTCTTATTACATGCACATAGTTGTTCCTATTGAAATACAAATAGGAAAGATATATATTTTTAACAACCCTGTACTCACCTAACGCATCCCCAGAAAAGGAGTAAGCAGTCGAAGATGATGTTGAACTTTTAGGTATATCCTGATCACATGATGTTTCTCCGGCAACCGAAGCTACGGGTTCTTCTGATGGCATTGCCGCAACCGATGTGCCTGATAAAGGTGCCTCGGTTGACATATTGTAAATAATTATGTTTCTGGTTAGGTCTAAAACGAAAAAATTATAATTTTATTTTAATAACGAATTTTTGGTTGTAGTTCAGTACCGCAACAATTATTGCCAAGACACATTAAGTTCCAATATTAATTTTACAAACGAGAGTATTTATCAGCATTCAGAATTTAATTAATAAATTTCCATGCATAATTATTGAAACATGAAAGTTGCAATTAATTTAATTGAATTCAATTTGCTTTTAATACAAAAAATACGTTTTGGATAAATACGCTACGCAAAAGCAAAAG